AGAGAGAGAGAGAGAGAGAGAATAATAATTATTTCCTCAATAATCCGTCAAAACTTTATTATTTATATATATTTAATTACAATCATTAAAATTATATCGACTTTCTTGAATCCATTAAATCGTTGTCTTATTTAACAATATTTGTTAAAAAATATTTCACAAACAATTGAAATTTGGCTTATACTTTACATTTATTTTATTTGAATTATAATTATTATAAACTATTTCATAACTATTTTTGCAGATTATAATTATTGTCAATTGTTATTAAAACAATCGTTGAAAAGGAAAATATTCAGATGAATGTTATTTATCTTTAATTGATTTGTTTGTTTAAAATTAGTAATAGATTTAAATGTTTTCCTTATTATTATATTATGCATAACATTATCAATATAATTATCGGGCAGTTAAAAAACAATTAACAAATACCGGTATATTATAACTAACATTAAAATTAATTATCAATACCTGATATCACAATACTTTTTAAATGACATACATTTAATTAAGCGTAAAAATATTAAACTAAATTAAAAGTGAAACAATTAATGAATGTAACCATTGATTATAACCACAACAGATCACAACATTGAACGCTCCGTTAGCCATAGCGCTGGCGCTCATCGATAACCTCAAGAGCCAGATAGCGAAGACGGCAGCGCTGGGAACCGTTGCCTTTCTCGACGAAGACTTCTTCATTAAAAAGTCGGTCCGAGAGCTGCTATTCGACGGCTATCCAGACTTTCTGACCAAATTGGCGCCCATTTTGAACCCGAAGATACCATTCCAGCCCTCTTTCGGATGGATGTACGGCAAGAACGAGACGGACGACGGCCTGTTTGTGGTCAACACTGGCAAAGCGGATATCAATCGGGTTAATGAGATCGAGACACTCAATGGCCTCCCGGAGCTGCAGTTCTGGTCCGGCAGTCGCTGTAATTCACTAAAAGGTGCCAAAAACGGGGAACTCTTTAACCCGATTCCCAGTATTGACCGCTCGTTGCTATTGTTTCGCACAAACTTTTGTCGAGTCCTGTCTCTGGCGTGGAATCAGACGCTGCAGTCAAAGTACGGCAAACTTCGCGTCTATCGATACTTTCCGGCCGACAATAGTTACGCCAATTCAACCGATTATCCGCCAAACAGTTGTTATAAACCCAATCAAAACGTGAGTTTCGCGGACATCGGCGACAATGACGGCGACGATGTCGATATACCGACGCTTTTAAAACGTGTGAAAACTCTTGTCAACGACACGGATGTGATCGAAAAGTTAGAGAATTTATATATGGGTTTGTAATTAAGCTTTTAATTAAGATTTCTATTTAATTGCCAATTGAATGATTGAAATGTTTATATCTTAATAGACTTTCTGGCGAACGGAACGCAAGCGTTTGATTTGAACGCCAATATATCGGACCACGAGTGGGGAAAATATCGGGACTACCCGTCGGGAGTGTTTGACCTGTCGGTCTGTTACTTCGGTGCACCCGTATTCATATCCAACCCGCACTTTCTGAAGGCCGACCCCTATTTCCTGACCACAGTGTCGGGTCTGACGCCCGACCCAACACTCCATCAATCATACCTCGATATCGAGCCCCAAACGGGAACTCCCATCGAACTGGAGCTCCGGGTGCAGATCAATGTGCACATAAACCAATTAGCCAGTTATTTTCCCAAATACTGGCACATGCCTCGCATTCACGTGCCTGTGCTCTGGCAGGAGTTCACAATACACGCCACCGACGACTTGGCCGGCGATCTGCACTGGAAGCTGACGGGACCGTCGATCATAGCCACCACTATATCGTCGGTGTTTGTAGTGATCGGTGTATTGACACTGTTGTGGGTGTTATCCAAGCCTGTGATGAGACGCTGTAAGCACAACAACGGCCCTGTGATGGTCGCCGACGACGATAACGCTGTGGGCACTTGTGATACCAGTGCTCTCATTACCGACAATAATGACCATAAGGATAGTCAGCCCGTCATTACGTAATGTCTTTTTGTGTACGATTTTTGCTCCGATTATTAATTCTCAGCCGTTTTTTCCAAACGATTGTTTGGGATTTAAATCTAAGAAAATTTGTTATTTTATAACTCAAAGTGTTTTTTATATATTTCAAATCAATTGTTAATTTTAATTAATATTTATGTTTTAATTACGAGTTAGTGCCACAAAATTTGTGCCACATATTTATTATTATACCAAATGTATAGTAATTGAAAGGATTTATGTTTGAAAATTTTTATTGATAACAGAATTTTAAAAATAAAATGCTATTTACAGACACCAAAAGTCATATGAATTTTGCATTTATATATACACGGGATATATGTTTACATGTATTTCGTGTCTGGATTTTAGAGAAAGAGGTGTTGTCTCTGAAAAGTGATGAATCTCTCACGAGTCAGTGTTTTGAAAAGTCATTGAATTTTTATTTTTACTCAAAAGTTATTTTTAAAATAGTTTTTTAGATGATTCCTATCCTTGAAGTTCAATATATTTAAAGGGTTTGTCGTGTTTTTTGTGTGCATTATATTTTGCATAATTATTATAGTTGTTATGAGAGACTCTCGTCGTGTGAAACTATCATTTATTATAAGTGGTGATCAATACAATTGTTAGTAAAATTGTAATCATTATCACAAACTTTTAGGTGAGTTTAACTATTAAGTTATTATACTTATGGCTATTTTGATTAAACCTTTAATATCTAACAAATGTAAGTGAAATACATATTTTTGTAATGAATTTATTGATTGTTATTTAGATGATCTTGAAATACAATATATCAATACAGTAGTCCATTGATTAATATCTAATATTTTTTATGACAAATCTATTTGTTTTGTAAGATTGATGGTTTTTTCCTCGCATCAAGTATTGTTTCATTTGTTTCACTGTTTTATTATTTAGATATTTTTTGTGGAGAAATACTGTAAATAGTTTTTATGTCTAAATAATTTGCAATATATTTGATAAATACTTGATTTATTAAAACTTTTAGTAAAACACAATTAGATATCACTTTTTCTGTGATAAATAATATTTTTATTACTTAAGAAAGTCAGTGAAAAGTTTCTTAAACTCAATGACAATTATTGTCGATAAAAATAAACACTTCCTAACCTATGGGTTGAATGTAATGGATTTGGCTATAAATCCTAAATTATAATTTACAAAACAGTAGTTATGATAAAATCACATAAACAAATGAATTTGGCTTAAATATAAACTTAAATATTTTTCATATTAAACTATAGATGTCTTCGTATTTATCATGAATTTCAAGTATATTTCAATTCAAAGAATTTTCAGTTTCAATCTATTTATGGTATAATTATTGTTAGAGTTGTGACACATTGTGGTCCACAATGAGAGGATAGCAACCCTTTTATGAACCCCTTTTAGGTTGGGTTTGAAGCCTAAAACCCTGACACCAATGTTATAACCACTCACTCTCTCCCTCTTCACTAATGACCCAAGACTTGTATTTCACCATAAGTTTTGTCTACTTTTTGAATATGAATAAAAGTTATGTTATTTTGAAATTAATAAATATCTTTAAAAATACATAATTTAAGTTAATATAAAGAACCCTTATAAAACTACCCTCATCAACCCCTCACTATTTGCCAAATGTATGTTTTAACATTTATTATTTATATTACAATTTTAATTATAACTTGTCGAAAATTTTATATTTTAATTTTTAATTACATTTACAGCAAATATTTCATTAAAATATAGTTTTAAATTATAAGCTATTCCTGAGCACTAATGTCTGGAAATATAATTACATATTTATTATAAGTTATAATTTAATTAACATTGTTATTTAAAAAATAAAATTACTATAACCTTCATTAAAATTTTATGACAAAACGAAATGGTTTTGGATATTAAATCACAGTATTTATATAAAGTAAGTTATATTTTAAAATTGCCAAAAATAAATCGAGACAAATTACTCGAGACGATGTTATAAAATGATAAAAGAATTAATTACTTTTGAAATTACATTAATGTAACACATATTGCGAAAGGAAACCAAAAACAAATGTTAGAAAAATGCGGAAAAAGCAAATTAACCGGGAGTTTGAATGTCTATCACTCGCCAAACACATGATAATCACGGATATAATTGTGACTATTTTTGAAACACTGAAAATATCTCACAAATGCATTATATTATGGTTTCTATGCTATTAACTAAATATCTTTTCATTTAGTAAACACTTTCACATTTTGTCTGTTATTTTTACTTACGGTATATTATCTCAAACTTTTATAAGTGTGTAAATATTATTTACAGAAAAATTGCTATATTTTCATTTTTCATATACTATTCATTGATATTTACTGTATTAATAGACTATTAATTATAGTAAATAATATTTACACCAATTATTGTCTTGTTTAAAGAAAACATCTAAAATTTTATTAAATTCTGGTGAGTATTACCGGTGAGAAGAAATTAAATACTATTTTGAAATATTTAACTAATTATTATTAATTATTGCAAAGTTTTGTTTTATAAACTTGAAAATTAAATTAAAAATATGAAAATAAGAATAACTTTAATTAACGATAAAATTTAGAAACTTTAAGTACTAAATATTTAATACAAGTGAGTTTTAATTACAAACTAATCATAATTTATATAATCCTTATATCTGTTGATAAATAACTCTTTTAGACATTCATTGAATCATTAAATTTCGCATTTATATAGAAATAACTGTTTAATTGGTGGTAAAAGATAACATATTTAAATGAATGCCATAATCATTATTTTAAATGTAAATATCTTTTTTTAAGACGAGAATAGAAAATATGGTAAATTTAATACACGGTTTAGTGTATTGCAAAAAGTGAAAAGCGAAATGTGAAATAACAAAAAGTTTAATAAATTGTCGATAAAATTAAATTCAATGCCACGAAAACGAGAGAGAGAGAGAGAGAGAGAGAGAGAGAGAGAG